GGGGCGGAGAGGGCTCGGCGCTTGGGAGCTGTCCGGGGCCTGAGGCTCCCCCGCCAACACCCAGCCTCTGCCCAGGCCAGCAAGGTGCCTTTCTGCAAGTTCCACCTGGGCGACCGGCCTATCCCCGTCACCTTCAAGAGGGCCATCGCCGCCCTCTCCTTCTGGCAGAAGATCAAGCTGGCCTGGGGCCTGTGTTTCCTGTCGGACCCTATCAGGTAGGGCCCCTCGGCCTCCCGGCCCGGGAATGGTGACCAGTGGCCTGAGATGCCCACAGAGCACTTGGTCCACACCTGGCCTGGCCCAGACCACCACGCGGCACGCTCCTCTCATTCTCGGGCGGAGCCTCCTCTCGCAGGGCCTCCCCAGCCCTTCCTCCTGCCAGGATCCCAGACAGAAGGTGCGAGGTCCCCGCCCTGGGTCAGCCGTCCCTCGGGCTGGCAGCACGCCCTTCTCCCCCAGCAAGGATGACGTGGAGCGCTGCAAGCAGAAGGACCTGCTGGAGCAGATGATGGCCGAGATGATCGGCGAGTTCCCCGACCTGCACCGCACCATCGTGTCTGAGCGGGACATCTACCTGACCTACATGCTGAGGCAGGCGGCCCGGCGCCTGGAGCTGCCCCGTGCCTCTGACGGTGAGGACGGGCTGCGGGGTAGTTGCTGGGGACCCGCCGGGGCCAGTCGGGTGGGCGGTGCTGATGCGTCTCTCCCCCCTGCAGCTGAGCCCAGGAAGTGCGTCCCCTCCGTGGTGGTGGGCGTCGTGGGCATGGGCCACGTCCCTGGCATCGAGAAGAACTGGACCACCGACCTCAACATCCAGGAGATAATGACGTGAGTGCCGCCCGCCCACCCCTCCGTCCCACCCAGCCCCCCCCCGCCCCCCCCACCCCACCCACGTAGAGCCGGGCTGGGGGCTGGGGGATCGTGCATCCCCCAGCCAGGCCCAGCCCGCCCTCCCTTCCCCAGTGTCCCCCCGCCGTCCGTCTCCAGCAGAGTGTCCTGGCTGGCCGTGAAGGCCACCTTCTTGGGCCTCCTGGGCTACGGCCTGTACTGGATGGGGCGCCGTGCCAGCAGCCTGGTCTTGTCACTGCCTGCCGCCCAGTACTGCCTGCAGAGGGCCTCCGAGGCCTGGCCACACAAGTAGGAAGGACAGAGGGAGCCACCACGTCCGTCCAGGGGGCTGCCCGCGGCTGCTCCTGTGACACGGCCGAGGGGCACGGGGGGCCGGCCCCCTGAGGAGCTCCTGGGTGCCACCCCCCATGGGGGTCCGGCCTAGCCTCACCTGCCCTCTCCCAACCCGCCCAAATAAAGAATTATTTCACTGTCTGAGCTCGGGCTTCCCAGCAGCCCCCCTCCACCCCCTCCCTGCGGCCGCTAGGAAGTTCACCGGCCCGGGATGAGCTGGCGGGGGAGGGGTGAGGTGCGGTGGGCCGCAGCCGGCCAGCCCCTACCTCACTGTGCCTTCTCTCCGCGTCGCAGGGGGCGCCTCGCAGGGGTGCCGGGCCAGCAGGCTGGGGAAGGGCAGCTTGGCCCGTGCAGCCCTTCGCGTGGCTCCTTGGCGCCCCCTGGGGGGGCGGCGGCCCCGCGTGAGCGCCAGCAACGGCTGTGTCTACGGAGGTTGTGCGTTTCTGGCTTTTAAAAGTGTCTGAAACTTTTCTACTCAGGTATTTTTAACTTAAAACAAACCGAAGCAAATGTCAGGAAATGCTAGCCTTAAATCTGGCTGGGACAAAGAGAACACCTTTCTCTTGGAGTCTCGGTCCCAGGAAGACAGGGGTGTGGCAAGGGTCAGTTTCGGCCATGGGCAGCCAGGCTGGCCTCCAACCACTGCCCGTCCAGCTGCCCCCGTGGTCTACCTCCAGCCGTGGGGGCTGCAGGGCCGCCGCCCTCTCGGGGTGGAGCCTGCCTGGCCCGCAGGCGGTTGAACCTGCTTCCTGTGCAGCTAGTGGTGGGACCTGGGGGTCACCCCGACCCTCAGTGGATGGCTGGCAGCTGTCCACCAGGGCCCGCCAGTTTGCACAGGAACCGCCTTGGGTGCAGCTGGGCCCAAGGTCGAGCTGGCCCCCTACAGCACTTGACCCCGGTCATTACCTGTTTGCGTCGTGTCCTGGTTACCTGTTTTCGACGTGGCATCTGTGCATCCCGTCAGGGGCCCAGGGCCACGTTTGGCTGTGTCTGGTTGTGTCTGTGTTTAGACTCAGTGTCTAAATCAGGTGAAAGCCATGGCCACAGTCTGGCCCGAGGAGCCTTGGGCTGGGCCATGTCCTTGTCATTCACACGCTCGTGTACACGTCCCTTAGAGACTGAAATAAAATCTAATTTTGGAAGCCTGCTTTGTGAAATGTGCGGGAATGGGACTCAAGTGACAGGGAGGGTGGGGAAGGGCATCAGGATGTTGGTGGCACCCACCCATCCCTTGTGGACCCCTGCCCTCCCTTCTAGTCTGCACCCTGGGGCTCCCCTCCCTGCCCAGCCCCGCACCCTGGCACGCCGGAGGGGAGGAGGTGGGAGCGAGCCCAGCAGCTTGAACAAAACTCAGTGGGCACCGGCGGCTCACATCTGCCCAGAAAGGCGACAGTGGGCGTGGAGAGGCGTGTGGGCCTTCCCGGCGGCACGGCAGGAGGCCGATGGGGTGGAGCTTCTCCACGGTGTTTGCCCCCCAGGAAGCATGGCCGCCTGCCCTGCGCTGGGTCTCGGGGCTCTTCTGCGCCCCTCTGCCCTGGGCCAGCTCTGAGGCACATTGTCAAAGGCCGGTAGGAGTGGGTGGCGGGCCCTTGGTGGGCCAGGGGCTACTGAGCTTCCCTCTGCCCGGGGTCTTCTCTCCACAGGTCCAGGCGGTCCTGCTGGAACCCCAGGGTCTGGCCGGGTGTGGGGGAGTGGAAGGGGCCCGGTGCGTAATGGCTGGGTAGCCTCGGAGCTGTCACCCACAGGTCTGCACCCTGCAGTCTTCTCACTCCCCGTGAGGACCCACCTGGGTACCTGGCCCTGAACAGCCTGGGGGAGGGGCAGGCAAGGACCAGGCCCCCTCCAGGCTGGTGTTAGGGGGGGCCAGCTGGGCCGAGCAAGGGAGGCGGGGAAGCCAAGGCAGACCCTCCTAGGGCAGCAGGTGAAGGCCATGCTGGACCCACAGGGAGAGGTTGGTCCAGGGGCGGCGGGAGGAATCGAGGGTCTGATGGAGGGCTGGGGGCCGGCAAGTGCTAGGAGCCTGAAGGCCAGCCGATTCCAGAAGGGAAGAGGCCTGAGGCAGGTGTGGCCCAAGGTGAGAGGACAGTGGCTGCCCGTCTGCCAGGACCAAGGTTGTAAGTCACCTGCTGGATTGTCCACGGGCCCTTCTCGGGCCCTGGGTCTGGTCACCTGGAGAACTCCGACGCCTCCTGGCCCAAGTCTTCCCCAGGGAGGGGCTGCTCTCAGATCTGGGTGGAGAACCAGAGGGCCCCAGAGGTGTGTACGCCAGCCAGCCAGAGGAGCCAGTGCCCCGTCCAGGAGAGCAGCCTGCAGTTCGTGTATCACTTTGGCAAAAACAGATGTTACCGTGGGCGGTTGGGAGGGAAGGGCCGGGCCGGGCCAGGCCAGAGGCCATCCTCAGACACCTGCACCTGGGACAGAGATGCTCTCTGGGCGCTGGCTACAGTCAGGAAAGGAGAGAAGTCTACTTCCAAGGGAACAAACAAAGATGCCCAGGATACAAGTTAAGTATAAAATAACATCCACTAAATTGAAGCCACCAGCCTGAGGCCTGGGGAGTTACTTTGAATCTTCACCGTATCTCTGAGAATTTTAATGTATTCCAATGCAAGTTTGTATTACACTGACAAGCAGAAAAACAACAAGGTTTCATTTTTCAAACATATAAAGAGTGCTTAGGGGAGAGCGGACATCCCTCCCCCTGAACCGTGGAGGGGCAGGCCCCTCCGATCTGCCCAGGCACAGCCAGCACGGGAGGCGCTGACGTCCTCGGCCCACGCCAGGTTCTGTGACAAGCGTGCAGACAGTGGTTGGACGGTGATTCAGAGTCGGGACGGGCGGGGAGAGGCTGCTGGATTTTGAGAGGTGCCGGCAGGAGTACAAAGAGGGCTTTGGAGACTGGGGAGGTAGGAAGGCCGTGCAGCCAGGGCCCCGGGGCCTTGTTGAGAACACAGGGCAGGCCTGAGCCTGGGTGCCCCACTCCCTGCGGGTGACCACTGGCCGGGGCTGGAACACTTCTTGGGCCTGACCTCCCAGCCCGGCCTGCACACCGAGCTGCCGGTGGATCTGCGGGATGTGGGCAACCACTCGCTGCGGGCCCGCTATGACAGCTTCCGCGTGGACCAGGGAGACCGGTTTTATTGGCTCTACCTCTCGGCCTGTACTCAGGGCCGCAGGTGAGTGCCTGGGAGGGCTGGGGGCTCTCGTACCACCCCCCTGCCCACAAGCATCGTGGTGTGCTGACATGCTTCCCGGGCTAGGGGCTGGGGAGGTTGGTACCCCAGAGTCCCCAACTTCTCAGCCTACTTCTGCCAGCCTCAGCTCTCCGGGAAAGGATGTTCCTCCCGGACCACCTGCCGGGGGGCCCAGATGGCCAGGATCCACGACGGGGGTGCAGCTGAAGGGCTGCAGTGCCACGGCCCACACCGTACGGGGTACGTTCCAGGGCTCCGGCGGCGTCCACAACCAGGAGGGCTGTGGCTTCAGCACGCTGCACCACACGCCCCACGGCTGAACGCCCTGCGCCGATGGCCCACACCTCTGCCAGCTGCAGCCGCGAGCCCTCAGGCGCCAGCTGGTGGTACAGCGATGGTGACCAGGCCGACCTCAACACACCGAGGCCGGAGCGCACCGGGGCCGACTCAGGCATGCGCTGGACGACCGTGGACCGGCCCTGCGCTCTAGCGGGCTGCGCGCTCGCACTGCCGCCCCCAGGGCCTAGGCCTGCCCTGCGAGGACGGTGCAGCCGGGCTGTCTGCTGAGTCTTCTCTGCAGGGAGGGGCCAGGAAGGGGCCAAGCTCAGCTCCCACGCATCAGGGCCACGTGGACCCTGCGCTCCAGCGGCACCTGCAGGTACCGGATGGGCCTAGGGAGGTCCACGAGGCCATGCGGCCCAAGAGTGAGGCAGAGGCAAGGTTGCCAGGGCTGGGAGGGCCACTGACCCTCCCGCACTGACCAGCTGAACCACTGGAACCCACCAGATGTTCCCTCTGCTGTGAGCTCAGGCAGGGCAGGCAGTAGGGCACAGAGCCCGGCACTCACAGACCCTCAAACACCCAGTCCCACCAGATTCCAGAGTAGGGGTAGGACAGTGGGGTGAGGCGGCCGGCAGATGGGGCAGGAGGGCCTGGGCCTGGGGAAGAGGGGAGGCTCAGGTCAGGTCTCCCAGGAAGCTAGGAAGGAGGCTGGGAACAGGGGACTCTGCCAGCAGGCCACGTGGGGAAGACCCCAGGGGTGGGTCCAGGTGGAAGGGAAGCTGTCAGGCTGCAGGAGGGGGCTCCGGGATGCCAAGCACCTACCAGGCCCTCACCACGTTGTCCCCGTTGTCCGTGGGACCCCCCACCCCACACAGAAGGCAGTGTCATTGCTCACGTCAGGGAAGAGGACCCCGAGCTGGAGCGGGGTGCGGGCTTCCCCGAGGTCACAGAGCCGGCAGGGGCGGAGCTGGTTCACACGAGGTCTGGGGCGCCGTGCTGGGGCCCCAGGGGGAGGTTCCGAGGCGTCTCCCTGAAGTTGGTGTGGAATCGGGGCAGCGGGAACAGAACAGCCCCAGCCACGGGTGAGCTCGCGAGTTTGTCCGCGGTCTCGGGTGTGACTCTGGGTCCAGGTGGGCAGGGGCTTGGGAACCCCTGCAAGGACCACCCGTGCCAAGCAGGCATCAGCGGGGTCCCCTGGGGGGCCCTCCACAAGGCTCTTCTGAACTGAACCCCTGAGTCATTCTGCAACACTGACCCCAGCTCCTCACCTGGGGGCGGGCCCTTCAAGGCCAGGCTTGCCCTCCCCACTGTGCGCCCACCCTAGGCCTCCTGGGCATCTACGGGGGGTTTCTCTGGGCCAGGCTCTGTTCTGGGGGAACTGGTGCCCAGATCACCAAGGCTCCCACCCTTCCAGAGCGTGGGTGAGAAGAAAGACACACAGGAAACAGGAAAATAAGGGAATGAGCTAATTTCAGAGAGAAGTGCAAGGAAAAACACAGGTGGCAGGCAGGAGAGGTGGGCCTGGGATCCAGCCCGCGTGTGAGGAACCCTGCTTGGAGCAGGGAAA